GCCGCGCGCGAGGCCGCGCGCGCGGCGCGCGCCAAGGGCGCGGCGCCGCTCCCCGTCGGCGCGGGCGGGCGCGGCGACGACGACGCCGCGGCGTCGATCCAGCGGAGCTGGCGGAGCCTCCGCGCCGCGCGGCCGCGCGCGCGGCGGCGGCGCCGCGGCGAGGGCCCGCCCGGCGGCGACGACGACGCCGCGGCCGCGGCCGGCGGCGGCGACGACGACGCCGCGGCCGTCATCCAGCGGAGCTGGCGGTCCCTCGCCGGCGCCGCGGCCGCCGCCGCGGCCGCCGCCGCCGCCGCCGCCGCCGCCGCGCCGCCGCGGCGCGCGCCGCGGCCCCGGCGGAGCGTCCAGGACTCGCTCGCCGCCGCCGCGGAGCGCGGCGCGCGGAAGCGGCGCGAGGCCGAGGAGAAGCAGCGGACGCAGCGCCTGCGGCTCCGCGCGGAGCGCGGCGAGGCGGCCGGCGCGGGCGACGGCGGCGACGACGCCGCGGCGGCCGCCGCGCCGCGCCGCGACCCGTCGCCCGCGCGGCTCCAGGCGACGGCGCGCGGCGCGCCGGGCGAGGCGCGCGTCCGCGACACGATCTCCGCGGCGGCGGAGCGCGGCGCGCGGAAGCGGCGCGAGGCCGAGGAGCGCGCGCTCCGCGTCAAGAGCGAGCTCGAGCGCCAGTACGGCCTCTCGTCGTCGCGCGCCGAGCCCGCGCCGGCGAGCCCCGGCGGCGGCGACGCGGCGAGCCCCGGCGGCGGCGACGACGCGTCGCCGCCGCCGCGGCGGAAGCGGCGCCGGCGGCGCTGGCCCGGCGGCGACGCGACCTGGGCGCCGGAGCTGCCGACGCTCGCGGCGTCGGCCGAGGAGCTCGGCGAGCCGGCCGTGGCCGCGGCCGCGGGCGCCGCGGGCCGCGCCGTCGGCGCCGCGCTCGCGGCGCGCGACGGCGACGACGACGTCCTCGCGCTCAGCGACAGCCTCGCGTCGGCCCTCGACGCGGCGGCCGCGCCGAGCGACGACGACGACGGCGGCCCGCGCGCGGGGGGCTAAGGGGGCTCCCGGACCGCGCGGCGTCTCCGGACCGCGCGGCGTCCGGGCGCTTGGTTTTAGGGCGGGGTCCCCCGCGGCGCGCGCGGTGGCCCGCCGGCGCCTAGTAGCCCATGTGGGCCTTGACGGAGGCCGGGTCGACGTCGCCGGCGAAGCCCTCGGCGCGGACGGGCTGGGGCCCCGGGGCCGAGGCGAGGGACGTCTTCCCCGCGGGCCCCTCGCAGGAGACCTGGCCGTTCATCGGCAGCGACCCCCAGCGGCCCATCGCGTGGGGCTCGCCCTTTTTGCAGGCCTCGAGGAGCGCGACCATCGAGTCCGGCGTGAGGCACTCGTAGTAGTCGTCGTTCATCTGGATCATGGGCGCGTTCGCGCACGCGCCGAGGCACTCGACCTCGCGGAGCGTGAAGAGGCCGTCCTTCGACGTCTCGCCCTCCTTGATGCCCAGGTGGTCCTCGATCGACTTCTTGATCGCCTCGGAGCCGCAGACCATGCAGGGCGTCGTCCCGCAGAGCTGGATGAAGTAGGTGCCGACCTGCTCGCGGTTGAACATGGTGTAGAACGTCGCGACCTCGTAGACGCGCATCGGCGCGCAGCCGACGTACTTGGCGACCTTGTCCATGGCCGCGAGCGGCAGCCAGCCGCCGCTCTGGCGCTGCGCGAGGTCCAGCAGGGGGATGATGCCGCTCATCTTGTAGTTCGCCGGGTACTTGCCCAGGATGTGCTCCGCGCGCAGGTGGTTGTCCGGGCTGAAGTCGAAGGTCGTCTCCTTCGTGTTGTCGCCCGTGTTCACGTGCTGGGCGAGGGGGTGGAAGTTGCTCAGGGGCCGCACGCCGGGCCCGCCGGCCCGGGCGACGCCCGACGGCCGGGCGAGGGCCCGCGGCAATCGTCGCAGGCCGAACATCGTCGTCGCGCGGCGGCGGCGGCGCGGGTGGCGAAAATCGAGGACCGCAGCAAGCTCGACTTGCGGCCGGCCAACCTGGCAGACCACTGGCGCCGTCGCACATGTCGGCGTTGCAGGCCTCGTTGCGCCGGCCTTGCAGTTGCCTGCGTAGTGCGGCCGCGCCCGACGCGGCCCACACTCCTCGCCCGGCGCCGCGGCGTCGCCCGGCCTCGCGTCGCTTACTCGCCCGCGTCCCGCCGGTCGCCCCGCTCCGGCTTGGGCCCGAGGAGCTCGACGACGAGCGCGGCGACGCCCGCGGACGCGACGAGCGGCAGCACGACGTCGTAGTCGCGCGTGAGCTCGAAGAGGAGCATGGACGCCGTGAGCGGCGCGCGGAGCATGGCCGCGAGGACGCTCGCGGCGCCGACGGTGGCGTAGGCCGGCGGCGCGGCGACGGCGACGTCGACGTCGAGGCCCGCGGCGGCGGCGGCGGCGCCGAGGCCGTCGAGCGCGGCCGCGACGACCTGGCCGTAGGCGCCGCCGGCGACGCCGCCGAGGAAGAGCGACGGCGCGAAGAGGCCGCCGACGAGGCCCGCGCCCACGGACGACGCCGTCGTCGCGACCTTCAAGCAGAGGAGGCCGACGAGGGTCGCCGCGTCGCCCGGGCTGTCGTCGTTGAGGATCGTGTTCAGCGTCGCGTAGCCGTTGAAGAGCACGGGCTGGCAGGCCGCGCCCGCGAGGCCCACGAGGAGGCCGCAGGCCGCGGGCCGGAGGTCCCGGGGCACGGCGGCGCCGAGCGCGCCGTCGTCGCCCCACGCGGCTTCCGCGGCCGCGATGGCCTCGACGAGCGCGAGGGCCACGAGGCCGCAGAGCGCGCCGAGCCCCAGGTACGTCGGCAGCTCGAGGAGCGGCGACGCGCCCGCGGCGTACTTCGGCGCCGCGAGCGCCTGTGTGGAAATCAACCGCCGGTTCGGGACGTCCCGACCAAACTTTGACATTCTCCAGCTCGGTCGAATCGAAGTCGTTTTGGCTGATTTTTGAACGAATCGATTGCTCTCGTCGAGTTCTCGAAGCAGAGCCGAAGAGTCCGGTCCAAACCGTTCACTGACGCGCAAATTGAAGTCGGGTTGAAGATTCGAGTGCCACGCGGGCGAGCGCGAGGCGGACCTGGAGCACGTCCTGCGACACGACGGCGGCGACGACGGACGCGACGGCCGTCGCGGCGACGGCGCTGCGCGGCAGGACGAGGACGGCGCCGCCGGCGTCGCGGTAGGCGACCTCGAGCGCGAAGAAGACGCCCGCGATCGGCGCCGAGAAGCCCGCGGCGACGCCCGCGGCGCCGCCCGCGGCGCGCAGGATGCGCCGCCGCCGGTCCGTGGCCCCGGCCCCGCCGTCGACGCGCGCCGCGAGCGCCTCGCCGAGCTCCACGGCGGGGCCCTCGGGGCCGAGCGAGTTGCCCGTGCCCAGCGTCGCGACGGCCGCCGCCGCGCGGCTCAGCGCCGTCGCCGGCGCGGTCCGCGACGCCGCGTCGCCGAAGCCCGGCGTGGCGGCCCGCAGGAGCCCGACGGCGGCGCCGCCGAGCGCGGGCACGGACGCGTAGACCAGCGCGGACGCGGCCGCGTCGTCGGACCAGCCCCCGGGCAGCGCGAGGAACGCGTCGCGCACGTACGCGCCGTAGGACGCCTGCTCCAGGGCGTCGATGCCGAGCTTGAAGCCGGACACGGCGACGCCCGTCGCCGCGCCCACGAGGCCCGCCTGGGCGACGAGGAGCGCCTCGCTCCGCACCGTCAGCAGCTCCGGCGGACCGCGGAAGAGGCCCTCCGCCGGGGCCTCCGCCGCCTTCTCCGGCGCCGCCAGGCGGCAGCGCCGGCGCGCCGGCGGCCGGGGCGGCGCGACGAGCGCCGACGCCCAGGCGAGCACGAGCACGCCTCGCATGCTAGCACGACGCGCCCATTGCACACTGACACAGGTCGGATCACTCGCGGTCAATGTCTGCAAGTTGAATTCAATATCGCGTCGTGTTGAGGGCCCTGTTCAAGGTTTGAGGGTGAAGTCCAAGTTGAAGCGGCCTTTAACATATCCCGCCGGCGGGATATGTTACAAAAGATGGATCAACGCGACGCTTTTAAATCAGGCGCAGGTGCAGGTGGAGGCGTCGGGCGTGTGCTGGGCGCAGACGGGCACCTCGGACATGCCCGAGGGCGGCGCCTTGAGCGCGACGGCGTCGAGCGCGATGGACTCGTACCAGTCCGTGAAGTCGCCGAGGATGCGGATGGCCGTGATGCCGCTCAGCACCTCGATCATCTCGCACTGCGTCGGCGTCGGCCACCGGAGCAGCGTGTTTTTCGGGTCCTTGATCCAGCCCGCGGCCTCGTCCAGGGAGATGGAGTACGACGTCGTCGCGCCGTCGAACGCCGTCGCGTGCCAGACCGGGAACGCGAGCGTGATGCCCTCGTTGACGTCGCAGTAGGCGCACTCGATCTCGACGAGGTTGTGGGCCATCGACGGTCTCGTCAGGTCGCCGGCGAGCGCGCCGAGCGTGAACTCGAGGCTGCCCTTGTAGGACGCCCCCTGGTTTCCCGAATACGCGGCCGGCGACTGGAACATCCAGCGGCTCGCGTTCGTCTCGAGGCCCGTGGCGCCGTCCTTGGCGATCAATTCGTCCGTCGCGACGACGAAGCGGTTCAGCGCGGCCCCGAAGGACGACGCGTCGTGCGCGGCGCCCGCGTTCCCGGGGCCGTTGCGGACGACGGTCCAGGCCTCGGCGGACGTGTCGAAGGCCGTCGCGACGAGGTTCAGGGACGGCGGCACGAGCGTCACGGTCGCCTCGCGGCTCGTGGCGGAGCCGTCGCTCACGGTGTAGCCGAACGTCGCCCACTTGCCCGTGGCGAATTCGGCGTCGTAGGCCGGCCTCGCGTAGTGGAGCCGGTCGTTGCTGCCCGTCACGGCGGCGCCGGCCTTGGCGGCGCTGCCCTTCTTCGGGTCGTAGCCGAACTTGGAGAAGACCTTGCTCAGCTGGCTTAAAACGCCGGAAGCGGGCAGCGACGACACGTCGGCGCTCAGCACGTCGCCGTCCGTGTCGTAGCCGCGGAGCGTGACGACGGCGTCGGACCCGGGCGCGACGACCTGCGTGATGTGCTTGGCGATGGGCGCGGCGGCGGACGCCGTCCCGGCGAGGGCGACGGCGCAGAGGAGCCGACGCCCCATCGTCAGGCGCTAAGAGATTCCTCAGGTTGACGTCAACGTTAGGCTGCTAAACCGTCGCGCGCGGACGTACGCGCCATAACGTATACGTGCGCACGAGAGGTCGGAGGTTCGGACGCTGGACAAACCCGAGGCGAGACCGCGGGGTCCGGACGCGGGACGAGGGGCGGGCTTTTACGCGCGCGCGGGAGCTCGCGCGCGCTCCTCCTCGCGCGCGGCGCCGCGCCTCCTCGCGCCGGCGGGCCGCGCGCGGGCGCGCGGTCACGGCGGGGGCGCGCGCTTCGGGACCGTCGCGAGCGTCGCGTGCTTCAGCGCGCGCCACCGCCGCGTCGCGGCCTGCGCGGCCTCGCCCTTGCCGCGCCGCTCCGCGGCGACGGCGTCGTGCGCGGCGTCGAGCTCCGCGAGCGCCGCGTCCGTCGCCTCGCCGCCGGCGCGCGCGAGGTGGCGCTGGAGCGCGACGCCCGCCGCGTCGCGCTGCGCCGCGCGCCACGCGTCGAGCGCCGCGGCGACGTCGCCCCGCGCGGCCTCGAGGTCCGCGCCGCGCGCGCGCGCGTCGCGCTTCTCGGCGCCGCGCGCGCGGCGGATTTCGCCGTTCTTCGCCGCGAGCCACTTGCCGTACTCCTCGGACGCCTGGGTCCGCTTGCCCTCGGCGAGCCGCGCGGCCGCGGCCCGGGCGTCGTCGGCGGACGCCGCGAAGACGGACGCGGCGTCCGCGGCGGCCGGCGGGGCCGCGCCGTCGCGCCTCGCCTCCGCCGCCGCCGCCGCGAGGCGCGTCCGCGTGTCCGCGAGGTCGCGCGCGCGCCGCGCGACGCGCTTGTCGGCCATGAGGCTGAACGCGAGCGACGCGAAGGTCTTGTCGAACTCGGCCTTGGTGAGCACGCCGCCGTCGCGGCCCGCGACGCGGACGGCCTCGCGGAGCCGCCGGTTCACGTCGAGGCCGCTCCGCGTCGGCCGGTTCGCGTCGACGAGCGGCGCGAGCGGCACCGCGGCGAGCGACGCGTCGTAGAGCGCGCCGACCTCGGCGACGACGTCGTCGAGGGGCGCCGCGCGCGCGCCCGCCTCTTTGTCCGCCGCGGCCTCGGCGTCCTTGGCGCCGCGCCAGCGCCGGACCTCCGCGCGGCGCCGCGCGCGGTCGCCGCGCGACCGCGCGAGCCAGGCCGCGAAGGGCTCGTCGCCGGCGAACTCGTCGCGGGGCCGCCGCGCGTACTCGCGCCAGAGCGCGAGCGTCACCTCGCCGCGCCGCGCCTCGCCCTCGCGGAGCTGGCGCCTGTGTGGAAATCAACCGCTGGTTTGGGGGGTCCCCGCCAAACTTCAGAACTCTCTATCTCAATCAAATCGACGTCGATTCGGCTGATTTTTGGACGAATCGATCGCTCTCGTCAACTTCTCGAAGCACGGCCGAAGGCTACGGCGCACTCCGTTCGATTACGCGCACATTGAAGTCGGGTTGAATATTTGATTTCCACACCGGCTGGCGCCGCTTTTGGAGCTCGACCTCTCGCCGCGCGGCGCCGCCGTCGCGCTCGCCCCGGAACGCGAGCTTGAGCGCCTCGAAGTGGCCGTCGTGGCTCTCGGCGAAGGCGCGCGCCAGGTCCCGGACCTCGACGTCGAGGTCCGCCGGGCCCAGGACGTCGTACTTGAGCAGCATCGCCTCGAGCTCGCCGTCGCCGAGGCCGTGGGCCCGCCCGCCGAGGGCTTTGCGGAACTCGCGGCGCTGGCGGCCCCGGGACGCCGCCGCCTTGCCCTCGTTCCAGGCGTCCCAGGACGTCCCGCCGCGCCGCGGCGGGCCGAGGAACGCGGCCGCGAGCCACGCGCGGACCGCGGCCGCGGGCGCGCGCGCGGCGCCGCG